GAGTCCGTATGCTAACGTTCATCTCTTATTTAAACAAGTGTTGCCAATACATAGATTTGTATTAAATAATAATCACACTTTAATACTGACAGTCGAATTGTCTGTCTGAGAAGTTCTATCGATTTAATAATCTCAAAAATAATCCCAAAAACTTTCACCATTTCCGTACTTTCATGACTCGATTACGATAAACGTTTGTAATTTGTGTCGATTGGACTCGTACACGAATGGAAGCAAGCAAAATACTCGTTGGTCTCTTTCGTTAGCACCAATAGGATACAATGCCTGTGTACTCATACGTGAGCACGTATTGTCTGGATTCTATGCGACAAACTAGAAAGAAAAAAAGCTCAGAGATAAGCTTTTTGTTCTTACCTAAAGCTTTGAACAATGGCCGATCAATTCCACAGCAAGCTAAAATCGTACTTGTTCCGACATGCAGCTAGCTTCTAAGTCTTACTCTCTCGTTACCTTCGTCATCGAGTAAAAAGGAGAAAGGGGTATAGGGATGATCGAACGAAGTCGCTGAGCGTTTACGACGAACTACGATCGCATGTCATTGTTCGTGATCCAATCGGGCGAGGCAATTCTGGTTCCGAAATCGTACTCTTTGCTCCGATCGTTCCACGTTTGAGCAAAGCAAAACGAACAGAGTCGTATTAGAATTTGCTGGAACATACTGGAGGATTCATGTCGCCGAAGACATTGAGCTCATAAAGCGAGGCAAACACGATGAATATCAAGTACCAGACCATCAGGACTACACCGTACCGTCTGTCCAATTTCCACCCGTTCAGATGCGTCGCCAATACTAGGAATATTACCGTCGATAGCAAGGAAACAGTGGAATACGTCAAACCTAATGAGAATAAAAGACGTGTAAACAATGTCAAATTACACATGTAAGCGTACGTATCGCGAATAACGTATGTAACTAGATCAGTATGTTCACACACCTCTGCTGGTAACGTTTACATGCGAGCCAGGCTGTATCATGGCCGTTTGAATGAACCACGGGAGGCCGAGGCATACTAAAATGTCGAAAACGTTACTGCCTACAGCATTACTAACCGCCATATCGCCGAGACCCTCTTTTATTACTGCTAACGAAGAAAGAGCATCCGGTACGCTCACACCAGCGGCTACGAAAGTCAACCCCATTACGGTATCGGGAATACCCAGAGTACTCCCTGTAAAATTGTTATTTTGTCAAAATACAGGTCAATTCAATGGAGCTATTAATTTAGTTGGATATACGTTACCAATAATCGTGATCATCCACACCATTATGTAGCTGTAAAAGCTGATCCAGATCATCGATATGCAAAAGGTGAAAGGGTACCAACTTCGCCATTTCTCTTGCCGGCAATCCGGCATCGTTGCACGGCACATGAAATGAATAGGAAAGACGAGGCCCCAAGTGAGCAAAGTCCATTTGTTACCGTCCGTCGGCATCACAAGAGGCGATACTTCGTTAGGATCAGGTTCTTTCGCTTTATAATATTCAGGCTGTTTTGCTGGCTGTTGTGTCGGCTGCTGCTCGATCGTTTCCTGAACACCGTTTCCTAGAAAAAGAAAAGAGAGAAAATAGAAGAAACGCTATTAGACTCTTTTTGAGAATATTCGAATGATACACAAAAGAAATAGTGAATTACCTTCCTGATTCTTCACTTGCTCAGTGACCGGTGAATTCGGACCTGTGTAAGATAATCGATCTTCCTGCAAAGACCTGTAACTCACCAAAGCACTCTCTTCGGCTGGTTCGTCATCTTTTGGCAGGAACGGAATGTTGTACGACTTCGCCCAACGTTCTAATTTAGCGTTGAAAGAGAGCGCTACGCAGTATACCGCATACATTATTAACATAAATAGAGACTCAAGCCTGCAAAAAATTATAACTTTTAATTATACATTCTTAATTTTATTTGACTGGTCTCGTGGAAAAGGCAATAGACAATAGTGATCGGATAAAAAAAATTAAAATATCGATAGGACACTCACCAAGAAATAGAGTCGTCATAGATCGTGCCGAGCATCACCAGAATTGAGACAGCGTAGAAGAAACAATCTCGGCAAAGGGGCCACCAATTCAATTTGGAGGCTGTCGCGGTACATAGCCCACAAATCGATATAACAAACATTATGTTGAAAACAGCGCTACCGATAACGCCGCTCACCTAGAATGAACGAAAAATAAACATATTTATTGGATCTTTCTAATAGCAATTATCAACGTGAACTTTCTACTTAAATTTCTTGGAAATCTCGAAATGAGTGAAGCTCGAAGCAGAAATAATGAAAATACTGCCGTAAAAGTAAATGTTTTGCCTTAGAGAAAATATTGTAGTAAAAATTTCAACAAAATTTTTGCAATCTTGGACCATACAGAAATTACCAACAAAATTACTACATATTTGTTTAAAAAATGTTATGTATGTTTTGACTTTTTATAATAAAATTATTGTAATTACTTAAACATTTTTTATATCGTGTATTTAAATAATTCGTCACATACTATTTCCATTGTAATTTATAGTAGAATTACATTATATATAGCTTTAAGAACAACATAAAAATATATATAATTCTAGTGTAATTTTTACTATAATATTTTCCTTATATAGTTTGAGGATCCTAATTTTATACGAGTAAATATTTCAATTGATTAAAGTGAATTTGTTACTGTGACATAGTTAAAGACAACGATCTCAGTTTTCAGTAAAAAAAAAAATAAATAAAACGAATTAAACACATTGAAATAATCCGTATCACCATCTCTTAATAACGGGTATTATGGCAGATCAGTTTGTAGGATGAAACACTATCTTCTTGCGCAAAATTAATCATGTTATTGTGAGTAGAATATATCAGATTCAATTTCAAGTGAAATTTTTCACTCAACAGCTCATAGTGGAGAATTTACTTTAAATGAAAAATTATTTGAGTTTGAATGACTTGGCCATCACTCCCTAGACAACATAAAACGTCTTAAGATCATCTTGAGTACATCCAGGTTTATTTCAGTATATTTGATACTATCTGGGTTTACTTTTCGAGTGAAATTTCACTCGAAATTTAGAGAGCATATAATAACGTCTGACTTATTTTCGATCGAAAACTAGATCCGGAAATGCAATAATGATAAATGTTCGCAAGTAAAAACGAATAATTTGCTCACGCATCACGTAATACGTTAGTAATTTTGTTTCATGATAATGCAGATTAACGAACGCAGCAAAGCGTGCGACTCGATTAAAACCGCGATTGTACTTACTCCGATGTCATCTTTGGCGAAAAACACGCCGATGATCACCGTCGCCAGTTCAGGCGCGGAAGAGCCGGCCGCCATGAAAGTGGCTCCGGCAACATCAGGTGACAATCGCAACTCTGAAAGGAAGAAAATTAATGTCTGTGATGTAACATACACACACATATACACATTTTACGATAAGTTCGAGTATATTGAGTGTGTCATAAATATAAAAGCAAAGACAGCGATCTCAGTTTTTAGTAAATAAAAAAACTAATTAAACATGTTGAAATAATCCATATCATTATCTCTTAATAACGGGTATTATGGCAGATTAGTTTGTAGGAGGAAATACTATCTTCTTGCGCAAAATCTTCACATAAGATTGTTTACATCTGAGAAAAAGAGAAGCTAAGAATATGTGTTTGCACACATATTTGTAGTAAAAAAGAGCACTAGATCAACTTTTAAGATATTAATTCATGTGTGTTTCTTGTGTGAATGTTTTTTTTCACATAATATTTTTTAAATATTTCAAAATTATCACAAGAAAAAATGATTCTTTCAAATATTTAAAAATATTCCAAGAATATATTAAAGTGGTGAAATTATTAATCGCGATCATGTTAATACAACGTTAAGAACATATTAAAAAAACTAATACATCAATTGAATATCATTGCAATAGTGTTCTACTAGACTGCTCACTAGATTAACCCATTATAGGTCATAAAACATGTATTACATGTGTGCTAACTGACTTCTGTTATAGAAAAATAATTCATTTTATATAATTGCCTCTCACGGTCCATTGCTAACTCAGCAGAGATATTATGTAAGTAACATATATATATAATAAAATATATATATAATAAAAATAAGAAACTTATATATATAATATAGTATCGTAAAAAGAATTTCTGAATAAAAAAGTTGAATAAATTATTTGTTTATAACAAAATTGTTTAAATAATTACGTTGCAAAATGATTTTTAATATATGTTTTCGTAGTGATTTTTTCCGTAGAAACGAATGGCGCTGTTAAATTTTACGAAAAATCATGTTGCAACGTAATTATTTAAACAATTTTGTTACAAACAAATAATTTTTTCAACTAGTTTATTCAGAAATTCTTATATGTTTCATATGTTATTTACATAATGTTTCTGCTGAGTTAGCAATGAACCGTGAGAGATGTAATCATATAAATCAAAAGAATAATTATTTTTCTATAACAGAGGTCAGTTGGCACACATATACATGTTTTCGTAGTGATTTTTTACGTAGAATCGAATGGCGCTGTCAGATTTTACAAACAATTATTTTGAAACGTAATTATTTAAACAATTTTGTTGTAAATAAATAATTTTTTCAACTATTTTATTTAAAAATTTTTCTTTTTACGATACTATAAGATTCCATATGTTACTTATATAAGATTCCATATGTTACTTACATAATATCTCTGCTGAGTTACAATGGGCTATAATAGATTAATTCCTCACCTTCACAAATTCTGTCCAGACTCGAGACGAAATAATCGTCGCATACGATAGCAAGGCCCAGGAACGTGTAGATTGCAACTAGAATATGTATTATGAGTCCACCGTGTTTTCTAGCCTCGGGACCCATCAACGGTCGCGGGAACTGTTCTATAGCGGGCGCCGAACAGTTGGGTCTTCGCGGCCTCATTGTCGAATACGGATACTTTGTCGTGGCTTGAGTAGTGGGAGTAACCTGAAATATTTTGAGCGCGAGAGAATATTAATTATTATAAAATAGACTAATTATGAATTATCTGAATTATTAATTATCTATCAATAACTACTTGGAACGGCTAGGATTTCACTGTCCCGCGATTTATGACGAAAGTATCACGTAATATCATGTTAATATCAATACATAAATATAGCAATAGTATTGAATGCATCACACAAGACACAGGTGTTGCGCAACTTGCGCCATACATCGTGTCATGTTTCGCGTTCACATCTCAATACTAATCAATAAATCAGCGACGCTGATTCGATCGATTTTTAATCTTACATTTACGAGATATCATGATCAATCCACGTCCAATGCGTTGGACAGGGTATCCTTGGGACTAGAGATATACAACTTAAATTCAAATTCAAATCGAATCAAATCCAATTTGCGACGCAAAAGTTCTTCAGTGCGCCTAGCGGCGTAAATAGAAGTAGCATAAATCAGTCAAAATAGTCTTGCATATGATAACCCATCAAAATTAATAAACAATGGAACACAAATAATGTAAAAAACATGTTACTAATTTTTGTTGTGTGCCATAATATAAAACTTATAATAATTTTATAATTTAAAAAGATTGAGAAACTGGTTTGAAAATAAGTAAACCGACTTCACACAATTTATGCGCGTTTGTTCGAAGCATTTTACATCTCAGAACTGCTTTTCAAGTAAACAAAATTAATAATAGAAACTATTTATTATATCTGTACACGGTATACCGTTAGAATCCGGACAAAATTGAATTTAAAATTCTTGCTATATTAGAATTCAGAGATAAGAGCTAGAAGTTCCGACCTAGCTACCGTAACGTGAAGACATGTTTGGGTTTCCTCAGACGTAATTTTTGTGATTTCTTTTGGGAAATACTTTGGAACTATTTCCAAGGAACATATATTTACTTGAAACTGACATTGTGCCAATACTCACCACACTTTTAATTATATTTCTTATATTATTAAGTACCGTAGACTGGCGTATGAGAACTTAACTCGGGCGTCCTCGACCATTTATTGGAGAGATTGGAGAGATTGGGTAAGCGCTAGTTGATGCTAAAGTAAGTTAGATACGTCGGTAAGACTTTCATAACCTCAAAATAGCAGTATTCCGGAAATCATTCAAAAAATTCAAGAGAGAACCTGATTCAAGAAAGAATCTGATTTCGGAGAATCCGGGAAAGTTTGTATTCATTTATTTGTCTTAGCTATGAAGAATATATGAAGTAAGAGTTAAATAATATACTATTATTTATTTACTGTAGAGAATTTAATGTGGCTATGAATAATGTTGACGATTTAGTATATCTTGGAATAGAGAGAGAAACAATTATTCTAGAAAAGTGTGCGACAATTTTCAGTTGAGTAGCTGCTCAAGTGAACTTATCCAACAATAAAACTGATAGATTCTTATGTTCAAAAACAAAAAGGAGGGAGGGGGATAGTCTTGTACACATTCTTAGCGAAAGTTTATTGAATAAGACTGTATAGGTTAACACCTCTGTAAAGTTAGCCCCCGACTTTTAATAAAAAAATTTTTTTTGCATAAAATTGGAGAGATTGGGTAAGCGCTAGTTGGTGCTAAAGTAAATGCCAAATTGGTGCTAAAGTATATGCCAAATCGTTTGTAGAAATATGTAGTAAAAGACTTTACGTTTGTAGTAAAAAAACAAAAAAGTTAAGGGGGGAGGGAGGTGAAAAAATCGTCCGCCTTCTAAAATGGAAGGCTGACTTAATAAATGACTTAATCGACGCCAAATAATTCGTAGAGGTTTACAGTGAAGGAATTTTGTAGTTGTCCAGAAACAAAATGGCGGCCAATTTAATATTTAAAGGTGCCGTATTTCCACCCCCTCGTGAGGGATTGTTCTCTAAACCGACTATATCGACGCCAAATAATTCGTAAAGGTTTGTAGTGAAAGAATTTTCGTTTGTAGTTATCGAGAAACAAAATGACGGCCAATTCAATATTTAAGGATGCCGTATTTTCATCCCCTCGTGAAGTGCTGTTCTCTAAACCGACTATATCGAAGCCAAATAATTCGTAGAGGTTTGTAGTGAATTTTCGTTTGTAGTTGTCCAGAAACAAGATTAGGTTAACCTATGTTAATTTATATTCTAAGTCTGTTCTAATTCTTCAGCTGAAAAAAAAGAGAATTCTCTGCTGTCAGCAATAATACATCTCGTCAAAGCCAAGAGGTTCTAAGAACAAACGCTTATATCTTCCTTATTTTTTCTTTCCTTATTTTTTTTCTTTTGCCCACAGAAATAATCAAACCACTATTCAATACTTCTTCACTCTAACGCATTGGTTTCACAAAGCCTTCTATAAGTACTAGATTTGAGGCTTTCACGGCCATTGATACAATGTCTAGGTATAGCTTCCGGAATGGAGCCGTGTCTTGAATCAGCGATATGCCGACGTTTCGCAAACGTTGCAGTTTGCATCATCAGGGCTGAGAACTCTGATACTGAGCTCCCTTGGGTAAA